TAACCTCAAAATTCATGGTCTGGAACGATAAAATTTAAATTATATATAATGTAATTAACCCGAAATGGTAAAGTGGATTCATTTCCAATGCAGTTATAAGTTTCAGATCAGAAATTTGATTAATTTAATGTTACCTATAATAAATTGTGTAAATAAACAGTAGAAATGTGGTATCACGTATGCTTATTTGTTACATGATTTACATTATGAAAAAATCACATAGGTGCAAATGTTTACATAAATTATAATATGTGACGATTAAGCACCATGCAGTAATAAGGTGCATGATGACCATCTCTATTCATTAGATGCAAAACTTTTACGTATAAAAATAATATACCTACACTTGCATTTTAAATGCTAATTTAGATTTTCGTTTCTTCTCATACAATATGAATCATAATAATTCAGATAACCATAAAATATCAACCGATTTAAACCCTTATACCCTTGGATACAATTATCAATATGGGATAGGGGTTGAAAAGGATGAACATAAGGCATTTATTTATTATCAAAAATCTGCTGAGATGGGGAACGCTAGAGGTACATGTCAGGTTGGATATTGTTATGCAAATGGAATTGGAATTGAAAAGGATGAAAATAAAGCATTCATTTATTATCAAAAATCCGCTGAAATGGGAAACGCTACGGGAATGAATAATGTTGGATATTGTTATCAAAACGGAATTGGAGTTGAAGAGGATGAGCATAAAGCATTCATTCATTATCAAAAATCTGCAGAGCTAGGGCTCGCCATTGGAATGTATAATCTTGGACTGTGTTATGAAGATGAAATTGGAGTTGAAGAGGATGAACATAAGGCATTCGTATATTATCAAAAATCTGCAGAGATGGGTCATGCTAATGGTGTATTTAGGGTTGGATATTGTTATGATGAAGGAATTGGAGTTGAAGAGGATGAAAATAAAGCATTCATTTATTATCAAAAATCTGCAGAGATGGGGCACGTTAAAGGAACATATGAGGTTGGATGTTGTTATGAAGACGGAATTGGAGTTGAAAAGGATGAACATAAGGCATTCATCAATTATCAAAAATCTGCTGAGAAGGGACATGCTGATGGCGTATTTAAGGTTGGATATTGTTATTCTGAAGGAATTGGAGTTAAAAAGGATAATCATGAGGCATTCATTTATTTTCAAAAATCTGCAGATATGGGGCACGCTGAAGGAACATATGAGGTTGGACGTTGTTACGAAGACGGACTTGGAGTTGAAAAGGATGAACATAAGGCATTCATTTATTATCAAAAATCTGCAGATATGGGGGACGCTGGTGGAATGTCCAGTGTTGGATATTGTTATGATGAAGGAATTGGAGTTGAAAAGAATAAACATAAGGCATTCATTTATTATAAAAAATCTGCAGATATGGAGGACGCTGATGGAATGGGTAATATTGGAGAATGTTATCTTAGGGGAGATGGAATTGAAAAAGATGAAAATAAAGCGTTCGTTTATTGTCAAAAAGCTGCTGAAATGGGATGTGAATTTGCAATTTGCAATCTTGGAGAATGTTATCAGTATGGATTTGGGGTTAAAAAGGATTTAAAAAAAGCCTTTGAATTATATTTGAAAGCTGCTAAATTAGATGATGTTGGTGGAATGAAAAATGTTGGATATTGTTATCGAAACGGTATTGGAACAAAAAAGGATTTAAAAGAAGCTGAGTATTGGTTTCGAATGTAAGTTCTTTTTTTTAAAAAAAAAAAAAATTAATAAAAATACAATTTATATTGAATACTAAATAAGATTAACTATAATTATAGGGAGAAAAATAAATTTCAAGGTATATATACAGTATATTTTAATTTTGTTATATTTGCCAAATCTTTATATTTATTGATTTACTAATAAATAAATAGAAATAAAGAAATTTTCATATTCTGATATTGATGACAACGTGAAAAAAATATTGGATGATGAAAATTACCAATTATTATGGATTCCATATGATGAGTTTGAAAATATTAAAGAGATTGGAAAAGGTGGATTTGCAACTGTTTATCATGCTAAAAGTCGAATTAGTTATAAGGATTCTTTTAGTGATTATTCTTTCGCAATCAAAAAAATTCATGATCAAGATTTTTTTAATGAGGTAAAAATTTTAAAAAAAATTTATTAAATCTTTGAATTTATGATTAATATTTATTTTTCAAAAGTTGAAGGCATTTTGCGATATCGGATATAAAAACCCTTCGTTCTTAAAATGCTATGGACTATCGAGAGATGAATCAGGAAATTACGTTCTTATTTTTAAATATGCAGAAAAGGGAGCTTTACGTAACAATCTTTACGAAATATCTCAAATGAAATGGAAAGAAAAATTAAATTTATTAAGTTGTATGACATCAGATCTTGAAGCAATTCATTCGCAAGGACTGGAACATCGAGATCTTCATAGTGGAAACATTTTGCAAGACGATTTGGATAACGCATATATTGCGGATTTAGGACTTTCTAGTGCCAATACATTTCAGGGAGTAAGCGGAGTTTTGCCTTATGTAGCGCCAGAGATTATACAGGAAAAACCATATACTCAAGCAGCTGATATTTATGCTTTGGGTATCATTATGACGGAAATATCAACTGGAAGAGTTGCTTTCGATGGTTATAAATTTAATACCAACCTCGCAGTAAAAATTTGTCATGGATTACGACCAGAATTTTCATCAGATACTCCTAATCGTTACATTAAATTAGCCAAGCGATGCATGGATTCAGATCCGAAAAACCGACCTACTATCCGATCGGTTAATGCTCAGATTACTTATTGGATTGAAGAAATTGAAAGTTCTAATGATGATAACAAAATAAAAAAACAATTTCTAGAAGCTGATAAAATCAAATCTAATATTGTATCACCAAAACATCCGAATAATATCGACATGTATGCCCAGTAAACCTATCGATAAAGGAGAAATATCAAACAAATTATTAAAACCGCATAAAATTTATAATAGTGAAGTAGTGTAGTACGATATTTTAAGTTATTATGAACTTTTTTTTAAAAAAAAGACCTATTCATGATAACAAGTATGTAATACGTAGTGCATATAGGTCTCCTTTAAGCGAGGAAAAATTTTCTATAAGCTGCGCTTACTTTATCGCTTACTCTAATTCTAACCACAAAAAAGGTTCACTATAATAGTCAAAGTTAGTCTTTTTTTGATTAATAGAAATATTTTTTTCTTTTATCACGTTCAATTATTTATTGATCCGATCAGTCGTAAGCAGACCAACGGGCATACAATATAATTAATTAACCTAGGTTCAAGTTTTTATATTATTATAGTTTAATAGCAAAATAATTATTAGTATTATTAATGAATTATAGGAGAGTTATATCTCCTTTTTCTACTGACGGCATAGTATAAATGGGTTATATTGGTTTTTTTTTTAGTTATATTAGTCTAATAGTTTTGTTGAATTTTCTAATACAGTAGTTTTGTTATATTTTCTAATAGATTTGTTGAATTTGTTTTTTTATATATCTATTTCTATTTTATTAATTTTATTTTATTAATTTTATTATAAATAAAATGACGTTCTCACTCCGAAGATAAATCACGTCTTGGGCATCAATATTATTCTATTTTACTAAATTCCTCACTCGTGATTCTACCAAGTGCTTAGTAGAATTATCTTTGTTCATCAATTTTCTTGCCTAAAACCCTTCAAAATGTAGTGATCCTAACTAAGTAGCGGGGATAACTAATTTTGTTATTAAATTGTACAAGTCATTAATTATAAGTATAGGTTATTGTTCATTTGCGGTTCTATTATACTTCAATAATATTTTTTAAAATTAAAACTAAATATTTTATAAAGTCGGATTTTTTTTTTGTTACAATCTCAAAAACTTCTTTTATTTTCTTACACTTTCTTCTCGTTAGTAACTCAAATAGCTTAAAAAATTCGTTATATATTAAAATAAAAAATAAAAAAAGATATATACCTTATTGTCGCGAAATAACTCTCATTTACGCGTTATTTAGAGTACCACATAGGTGTTATTTTGAGACAAAGTTGAAATTTATCCTAAACATGCCTGTTATATATAATTACTTGTTGAACTCTAATATAGGCACGCGTCATTTTGGGACGCGCATGGGCGTTATTTTGAAATCATGCATGCCATTTTTAGGGGATACGATTTTCTAAATAACTCCCATGATCATGCCTGTTATTTCGTGACAATACGGAATTACTGCAAAAAGAAATAAAAAATTCCGGATTAACCCGAATGTGAATTTTTGGGCGAAACGTTAGGGTGTTCAATAAACTAATTGATCAAGTTAGGGTCATATATGATAATCATTAATTTCGGATTTTTTAAAGGGTTATTTCATATATAAATTTGTACTAATTTAGGTACATTTTTCTACACAACCAACAAACAAAATTTATGTTTTTTTTTAAAAACTGTACAGTTTAAAAAAATATAGCACAATTTTGTCTGTTAGTTGTGTAGAAAAATGTACGTACCTAAATTAGTACAAATTCATATATAAATTTATAGGTTAAATAACCCTTTAAAAAATCCGAACTTAATGACCCTAACTATGTTTTGATTAATTAGTTTATTGAACACCCTAGCGCTTCAGCATCTTTGTTATTACTGGCGGAAATAATATAATATATCAAACAACAAACCGGTTGATAAAATTTTTTTTTAAAAAAAAAGAAGAAAAAAATTAAAATAAAATCAAAAAAAGATTAAAAAAATTAAGAAAAATCAAAGTTAAAAAACCAAAATATCAAAATATTAAGAAAAATAAAATTATTAAAATTAAAAAATCAAAATTATCTAAAAAAAAAAGAAAAATTAAAATTAAAAAATTAAATAATGAAAAAGTTAAAAAAATTAAAAAAAGTCTAAAAATCAAAACCAAATGGTTAAATAATTACATAAAATAAAGGTTTTAAAAAGTATCTGGTATTATAATTTCTAAACAGAACCGCTACATCGACTTATTAACTCAATTCATGATCTGGGCTCAAATCATAAGTGATAATAAGTCGTGACTCTATAATAGTAAAAAATAGTAGCACACTTATAGTAAAATAATTCAGTTGACAAGGCCGTTCAGGAGCCCTTCGTTCAAACTCTTTTTTTTCTAGACAAGCCATTTCCTTATAAAAATAATTTTAAACCCTTATGACCTTGGGATTGAAAAACCTGCAGAGATGAGAAACGCCAGTGGAATACGTATTTCTGGTTGGAAATTGTTATCAAAATGGAATTGGTTTGAAAAGGATGAACATAAGGCATTCATTTATTATCAAAAAAATCGGCAGAGGTGGAGTACATGAATGTTGGAAATTATTATAATAATAGAATTGAAGTTGAAAAAAAAAAACGAACAAAAGGCATTCATTAATTATCAAAAATCAACAGGAATGGGAGACGTAAGTAGAGCATATGAAATTGGATCTTGTTATTTCGTGGGATTGGAATAAAGTGAATGAACGTAAGGCATAATCTATTTTCAAAAAATCTGCCGAAATGGGTGATTCTAATGGAGTAATCGGTGTTGGATATTGTTATCAATGTGGAATTGGTGTTAAAAAGGATGGATATAAGGAATTCATTTATTATCCAAAATCTGTAGAGATAGGAAATAACATAGGAATGAATAATGTTGGATGTTATCGTTTGGAGGCGTTAAATAAGACGAAAATAAAACTTGTTTTTTATTCAATAGGTTGCTATAATGAAGAATGTTTATGCGATTTTTAATATTGGAGAATGATGTTATGAGAATGGAATTGAGATTTAAATAAGTTCATGAAATATACTTGAAATCTGCTAAATTAGAAGATATTGATAGAATAAAAAATGATGATATTGTAACAAAAAAGAATTTAAAAGAGGCCGAGTATTAATTTCGAATTTAAGTTCATTTTTTTAAAATTTTTTTTTTTTCGATTTTGGTTTAATTTGTCAAATATTTACATTTTTATTGATTTAATAGTAAATACAGTAGAAATTTTAATATTTCAATCTTAATGATAACGTGAAAAAATACTGGATATCAATTATTACGAATTCAATATGCTAAATTTAAAAACATTAAAGAGATTTGGAAAGGAGGATTTGCAACCGACTGTATTATGCTAAATGTCAAATTAAAAAAGGATTCTTATAATTATTCGTTCTTTAAAATCATGATCAAAATTCTTTGATGAGATAAATTATTAACTTTTATTTAATACTTGTATTTTTTTAAAAAAATATTAAAGATGGTTAGCGAGATTGGATAAAAAAATCTACGGACTATCGAGAGATGATTCTAAATGGACACTATACTCTATACAGTACTAGGATTGCGACCCAAACTTACTAGTTTGGGATTTGGTAAGAATCCCAAATAACATTTACTAGGTTTCGCAAAATACCTCTAATTTGCCGTAATGTCAAACACTTCTGACTATAAATTATATTACGGCTACTGTAGAAATCACAATTTTTTTACGAGATCGTTTAAACTCCAGCACCTTACGAATTCATCCGATAACTTTAGCCAATAGGATCACGTCAAAAACGCGATTTACCTATAAGTCGCCTTGATTTGCATATAGCCAACACTTCCGTTTCTAATATAATTTTACCGTTATGATATTGATAGAATAAACCATTATAACAAGATTCGTTTTTTTATGCGGATCCCAAATTTAGTGAAACAATAGGGACTTTAAAAAAAGTGGATAGTGCAATACCTATAATACGTAAATTGATAATATAGATAGAACAAGTATATAACAAGCACATATCACAAATTTAAAAAAGCTTAAATAGTTTTTATATTTAAAATGATGACTAGACGAGGGAAATTAGAATATCATCGTAATTTTATACGTAGTATTGCTTCTTTTATCACACAACATTTTGATTGAATTTTTCTTATCACATCATTTAAACTCATGCATACGTCGAGTACTTCGATGTTATATGGAACCCTCCACAGCAAAAGGGAATGGGCCAAAAAAAATTAGATGTTTTAATTTTATATAATTTTATTCCAATCAATCTAATTCTTCAAGATATTGAATTTTTTAAAAATTTTTTTTTGGCCCATCCCTCTTTTGCTGAGGGACCCATATATAGAAATTCCAAGGTGAAGTCATAAGAATTGATTGTCTAATCAGATGCGCATTAAATATAATTATATTCTTCGTTGCACTTCGTTCCTGATAAGTATTATCTGACAATCAGTTTCTTCTGGTATAAGTTTTAACGATGAATATGAATTCTACTTGCTGTTTATTACTTGGCAACACTCAACTAAAATTTTATGTGTTATTGGCTTAACTATATTTAATTATCTAATAATCGATCCATCCATGATCTTGTCTTGAATTGGATTCGATCTTTAGGTTATCAATCTTTAAACTTGGATATACAGGTTATAAGTAGAATTTGTTGAATAGCCTACGTCCATAAAGACTCTTCCCAAACCATAACCTTAACCCTAAACACTAAAACTAACACGAAAATTTTGTGTTGAAAATTTTTATTCAAAAACTTAAAAAATCTAAAAAAAATAATAAAACATATGATAGGTGCAAAATCACCATAGGTGTGTTTTATAATAAATGTTAAAGATGATACTATTAAATGCATGAATATTTATTCAATGAATTGATAGTTTTGAATTTGACACTATTTTATCGAAATGGGATACATATTTGGTTTGGTTATGAATCCAAACTAGGTAGAAATACCCATTCCCAACCCCAAAGTAGAAACGCCGTAACTAAAAAAAAAGAGTTTGGGTCGCAATCCTCTAAACACCTCTAGAACTACTAGAGCTAGTACTATTCTGTCTAGATATACCTCCAAAAGATACAATTGGAACATTCTCTATCTTCGGGCCAATGTCACTATTATCTTTGACACCGCGTTTTAAAATTAGCCTATCGTAAAGTTCCATATTTAAGTGCATACTAGATTGATGAGCTTCCAATAACTTTTGTTTAAAATCATCGTCAGTCGGAACACCTGTAGGTGTAACAGATTCAGGTTCGGTATCTTTCGCTACTTTGTAAAATGAATCGAGGAGAAGGGCACAATCGTCCAAGTTTTCGCGCGGTTCCCATCTGGAAAGCTTTTAAGTTAGAATTATTGTAATAATTTGATAGAGTTTTAATAAAATGGCCCTCACGTAGGTTTGGAATAACCTTTCCATTGGATTAGAAATTTTTCTTTACCCTATAAACAATAAAATTTTCCGTTAGTACACAAATTTTCCATAAATATGAGGTATACCTAAATTTAAAAACCCTTTTTTATAAATTATAAATTCACCGATAACACTGATTACAACATTTATACACGTTATTTATATATCCATCAACAACACCGCTAGCATTATACGCTCATCGGTAACACTGATAAAATTTATACTAGCGTATTGGCTCGATCATTGATCGATTAGGCTTGATATCGAGCACGATGTTATAAGCTCGATCAATAGTGAGTCAATTAATTAATGATCGATTATGTTAACAATTAAATGTTTAAAATTTGATCGATTAAGAAATCTCTAAAAAATCTTTTATTTTACAGGATATCATTATAAAATACTATATGGAGTCTTTGCCTTGAAAATGGCCTTACGGGACTATGTAGATTTTATGAATAAAGTTTAAAATTTCTAGTCATCTAATAACAAATAAATTTTTATTTTTATTTTATCTTATAGAACTCAATAAACTCTACAAAATAATTTAAATTGGATTACTGGATAGCTAGAAATTTCAATTTTTTTCATAAAATCTACATAGTCCCGCAAGGTCATTTTCAAGGCAAAGGCCCCATATAATAGATCAATGGTTGGCCTAATGATTGGTCGATTATGTATGCTCGAGCAAATAAATTACATGCTTGATCGATCATACTCGATTAAACATACATAGTTGAATTTTGATCGATACAAAAAAAATTTTTTCTATCAATCATCGACCAACGATTTTTTTGTCGTGTCAATTCCCTAATCTATACATCCACCGGTAATATATTCAAAAAAAAAAACTCACATTCTCAACTTTACGTGAAATCACACTTTCAACCTCATATCTTTCTGGTTCAATTTCACTTTCACTTTTATCTTCACCGTCTTCCTCCTCTTCAGCATTATCCCATGACATTTCAACGTCTCTTGCATCGTCTTCTTCTTCCCAGTAGCCCGATTGGGAATGACGCCTTCCTAATTAACATTATAAATAAATATATATGATTAGTTACAATTATTCTCAATTTCTAAGTTTCACTTTTCTATAACGTCTTTAAATTATGATCAAGTAATAATAATTTAATTTGAAGGTGTTTTTTTTTTTTTACTATTATTTGTTATTATCAGATAAGATTAATAATTTGAAATGTATTAACCCTTTGCATGACTGCTTCCATCATCAAAACTCATTTTTTCGAAATCCGATATTTAGTATTTGGGAATTTAATCGATAATCTTATTGATCGGTTTAGGATTTTTTTACTATAGTTAAAACGTTAAATAACGATGAACAAAAAATTTTTTGTGAAATTTGGCCAAAAAAAGGGATTTTATAAATTTGACACCGATGATTGACAGTAGTTGACCAATCAGATAAAATCAAACCAATCGGATAAAGTTAAATCAATAAAACTTTAACGTTAAGCGTTCTTAAAAATTTTTAACGTTTCTCTATATAGAAAAATCAAATTTCTCAAAAAATTGTGTAATGTTTCCTGAAAACACTGAACACATAGAGCTTTAAACACTGGGCGTCGCATCTATTATCTGTAGGATCTAGATAAAGAAACCAATAGAAGAAATCAATACACACACTTTTTTTAATATATTATTAATTAATATTACTAAGAAATTTTAATACTTTAACAATATTTTTTACATAAATAAATAAATAAAAAAATACACTAATTTTTGAGAACATGTACGCTATGACATAATCTAGAGTTAAAATTAAGTTAGCTAATTTAATTGTCAATGAAATGGCTAATGGCTACTTTACCAAATAAGTGTGATCTTTTTTTAAGTGAGGTCTTTTCCTCAGTTCCTTTATTATTCATTATGCAGATATTACATAGTAAGTTTACATAAATT